AACCAAATCTCAACTTTGTGTTTATACCTTGATTTCTGGATATTAGAGAATGTGAACAATCTCATTGATGAACTGTGATGTTTAATAGCTCAATTGGAATGAAGGTATCAGACTCTGCTTTTCTCTGCAAATGGTTCCCAGAAGGGCATGCACTGGATGATGCACACTGGTGCAGTACTACTGTCACATCTCCCTTCAAACTGGCAGCCCCACCAAGCTCTACCTCAGCCCTAATACAGGAATCATCAAAAGATTCATTTTTTTTAATGCAATTCGAGCTACTGCAAAATTACATTTCAAGAAACAAAGGATCCTTGCTGAGGATTTAAAGTCCCACTTGTCAGGAAGTACAGAGCCCTGTTTGTAACCAATGAAAGAACCTCACAGCCACTCTGAAGTTTATATCAAGCTTATCTTCCAAATCCTAAGGCCTAAATCTTTGCACTTGCCAAAGCATGCATAGTACAGATCCTTTTCAGGTCCCCCAGGTTTGCAGGCAGGTGTTGGGTCTTCTTGGATGGGGCTGGCAGCATGGCTGCCTGCCCCAGGAAAGGTATTATATTGCAGGAGGGGTTTCAGGTAGCTCCACCTGTGAGCATGCAGGTGGGGTTTGAGGGCTTGTACTGGGTGCAGATGAGTACAAGTAAATCTCTTGGGAAAGCTGGGCAGAAGGAATGTTTTTCAGATTTTGAATTTTCGTGCTTCCTAAGCTTGTTGTCTGATGTGCTTCACATTTCTGGAGAGTCATCCGGAATAAGATCATATATGCAAAAGTATATACCTTTAAAGCTAGGTCTATAACAAAAACCTAGATAAATCTCCAAATATAAAGGACCATACATATTTTCAGAAAGCAAGCTGCTTGCTTTTTTTTGTATGCTGAATTTCCTCAATGTTTCAGACAGGTCTATTCTTAAGAAATTATTTCTTGATAGCAAACAAGCCTTTAACAATCCTGGATAAATTTTATATAACGTTTAATTTACCTGAGTAACACATAATGGAAACAACGTCTTGACTAGAATGCACTTTTCCAAATTAATTCCTCTCTTCTGGCAACATACACTTTTCATGACAAAGATAAGTTTCTGAGTGCTATTCAAATTGTTCCCTGCTGTTGGTGCAAATTAGACATGCAGTATTATTTTAATTTTTAATGACAGCTGGGCAACTACTTGACACCCTCATTTTAAATCATAGCCTAATCCAGATCTCACTGGTTCCTAATAACTCTCATTTTGGATGGCACCTCTGACGAGTGTGTGTCCCCATGTGAATGTCACACAGCAGTGGACAGCTGAGGTGCTGGAGTGAATCTCTCTCCATCAGCCATAGGCAACACAGTGGGCTTTTTCTAACAAAACCTAACTATGACAACTGACAGAGATGACTAAATATGTCAATAATTTTTTCTGGAGGGGTACTAGTTTGGCACTGGACAGCAGAAAAATGGGTTGATAAGATGGTGTTTAAAGTACTGTGTTTATTTATAAGGAGCAAATTGCATCCCCTCCCCAAAATCTTGCACAGACCCATTTGTTAATTGCTGTGCCTGTCTAGCTTGCTAGTGTGTGATTGTGTGACAACATGCACTGCCTTCATACAGATTATTTCTACTTATACTCTAATTAAAATGCCTCCTAAGACACTGTTCTCAGTGCCTATACTGGAAAATGCTCAGCCAAAATTGTCCATGAGGGTGCAATTAGCTGTGAGCAGAGTACCAAAACCTGGCATATTTTTGACTAAGAGGTCAATTAGTGTGACTGGGAGGCAAAGAATGCAGTCAGCCATAGGACGGTCAGAGGGAACAACCAACTGAATTGAACTGTCAGCTGATTAGGAAACAACTCCTGAGAGCAAGATGAATTTTCACCCTGGAAGTGATGAATGTAGACCCATCTGAAGTGCTCAGGTGAACTGAATGCTCAATCAGCATTCGATTAACCTGAGCTGCCCCTAGGTGAAGGCATATACATAAGATTTAAATATATATGCAATAGTCTTATCATGTATGAGCCTCCCAAAAGCTGTGCTCTATATACTAAAATATTAGCAAAATTAGTAAATAATGGTAATAACTCATAAATTCAAAATAAAACTGAAATAGCTGTGTATTCAAGAAAAATATTTTTGTATCAAACAAACAATTCCTCTACCTCAACTTGCAAACATAGATTACATGTGTTTCAAATCTAAACATCAGAATATTTTCTTTTATCTAATAATAAGTCTTAGCATAAAATAAGGCTAGACTTTCAGGTTAATTAAAGTTCACTAGAAATGAGCTGTCTGATATCAAACCTATGCCTTTGTAATTAACATTTAGGAGGCAGGGTTAATTATTATTGTCCCCTTTGCTAGTCTGCCATGTAGAACTAAGAAATCAAAAGCTCTGAGTTTAATTCTGAAGTTGCCTCTTGTTAATGCGGCAGTCACCCTGAACTCCCCAGGTGTGGAGGAGAAGGGAAAAGGTATGTGGGCTTCAGGATTTCCCTACTCCCCCAGCCCAGCCATTGGTGCCACACCAGCCCCAGAGTCTGTAGACAGTTCTTGCACAGGTGGTGGCACTGGAGTGATGGGACAGCCAAAGGTTCTGATCTCTCTGTGGAGGGAGGAGTGGTTGGCTTGACATCCTCAGAAGCTTTTTGTGTGAGTGGCATGGCTCGGGGGGGCTGCAATATTGCCAGCCCTTCTGCTAAGCTGTGGTAGGGGCTTGGGCTAATGTAGATGTCTCTTTCCATTTCCATTCTGGCATTCAGCTGCAGCCAGAGGATGGAGACAGCAGGTTCCCTACCTTCCCCTTCATTCAGACTGAAAAGGTTAATTCTTGTATTGATAGAATAAATGCTGTGAAGAGAAGCCTGCAACAACATTATCTCACCGTTCCCGAGAAAGGTATTGAGGGTTCTCTCTGGATACCCTAGGTGTTTTGAACGGTAAGTGTGAAAACCAGGGTGACCCTCACTGTAATAACCCATCACCTGCCATTTTCTTTGACCACTTGGGGGCAGGAGCTGGGCACCCAGATTTCCAGCTCTGCCATTGCTTTCCCAAAATACACAGCAGCCACATGGATGGGGCAGTGCACACTCTTTTAAATGAATTCCTACACTTCCTCCCTATGGCACTTTTAACCCCAAATAGAAGAGTATATCAAAACAGAAATGTATATCAGCAGTAAAACAAGCAAGTAAGCAGTGCAAGCAGAGGGTTGGCAGGCGGTGGGGTAGGTGGGCTGGAAGCACCTCCAGGGCCCCACAGCAGAGCTGGCCGCCAGCAGGACTTGCTCATCTGAACATGAGCAGCCAGCCAGCCCTGGCCTCAAGCTGCTCTGCCAGCAGGGAGAGGAGCTTGGCCGGCGGCAGTGGCAGCTCAGGCAGGCCTTTGCAGACATGCTGTCATTATTTTGCGGAAGGAACAACAGGAAAGGAAACTGGGGAAGGAAAAACTGTAGATGTGCTCAGGTTTGGCTCTCCTAAAGGCTACCTCAGTTAGCTTCGCTTGGTCTGTTTCTGTGATTCAGAAATGTATGAACAATAGCCTAGATTTATTTTTAAATGAGGTCATAAATGGCATCACTCCAATCAGAGTAAAGGCAAAACTTTCTTTACATTAGCTAGATAAATCGTCTTTCCCTGAGGTGGAAATCGTGACTCCTAAGTTTATTTCTTGTCCTTGTTTATATGTTAAGAATGATGTGTTTGGCATTTAGGATGTGTCCTTTAACGCAGAATAACTAGTTCTGTTTATAAGCGTATTGTGGCACTGTTGGGTTTTATGTTGCAAAGTTTCCTTTGTTAGTTTCTTGACCATGACAAGTTATATTATTTTAGCATTGAGTTGGTTGTTCTCTTCTTTTCAAAATATTTACATTGTAAAGCTCATGCTACCAACTTTAGTGTAGTGTAGCAGTCACAAGTTCACTTCTCCTGTACACTGATTGGGCAGTTATCGGACCATGTAGATGTCAGCAGACCTACTCATTTATTGTGGAGGAGGATGAGACCTCCAGGGGCTGTTACAAACAAGTCTGATTTAAGATTTGTTTTCCAGTTATGTTTAAACTGCCATGTATTGTGTGTACGTAATTAATATGGAATCTCTTAATCTTTGAAACCATAGTTTATGTTACTGATTTCACAAATTATTTGAGATGCTACTGTGATAAAATTCTGAAGGTGTTTCTCTTGGTAAAAGAAAAATAGTGACACTGGAAATGTGATGCTCATCACTGGGGCAGTGACCTGTCCTACTTGAGCTAAGAAGTAGCTCAATTCACTTGCAGAGTACAAGAATACTACCTTCATACAGAAACTAAAGAAGGTCAAGATGGTCAATGAGCAAATTGTTCTGTTGTGTGTATGACATAGCTTACCTGGCTCATGCTGTCCTGTGATGACCATCTCCCAACAGACCAGTGTAACCCTTGAGTATGAGGAAACACCGCTTCTCTCAGCTTTTTCCTGGCTGAGAGCTGTGAGGTTAGTTTAGTTTGGTCAAATTTGGGATTTTACTGTTTTCTCCTTAAAGTACACACTATTGTATGGTTATTTTAGGAACTTCCTTTATGTATGTAGGTACAAGACAACTTCCATTCCCTCTACATCAAGTGATGCACTGAAACATTAGCTCTGTTTATCTTTCCTGCACTGTGATTAACTATAGTGACTATTGATTATAAATGATCTCACCATTACTTAAATGACATATAAAGGTACATACTTACCTAAGGAACTGATGGCAAATGGCTGACTTTTAAGATTTAATGAATGGAGGACAGCTTCTGAAAGACTACAGTTCATAGGGCCACCTTCCTATCTCATTCATAAATTCAGTGCTATATGTAGCCAAACTTGTAAAACATTTGATCAATAATCAAAATATGAACGAACTTTTCTTTTTTTTCAGATCTGAAATCTGTGTTCGGATAAATGGTGTGACACAATCACAAGCTTCAAATCCTTTCTCCCCCTGATTTCTTGTGATTGCTTTCTTAGGATGCACGAGATCCTCTTGCCAAGAAGAAAGCACAGAAGGAGACTCAAGAGGAGCCTGTCTTCCTGGAAAGTGAAATTGAGTTACCCAGAAATGTGCCTGGAGAAGAAAACAGGTGAGAGAGCTAACTGAAAAAAATTAGTGTCTGTTCACCTTTTTTCCTGATTTGTTGCACATCTGTTTTAACACTGTTTGAATATGCAGATGTCAGGCCCAGATTTTTTGAGTTTTAAAGTAGGCAAAGAAAGGTCTCTGCCACCACCCCTCACAGCTAATTAGTCCTCTACCTCAGGAAAAAGAATATCAGGTTTGTAAAGGCTCTTTTTAAATAAGATGACAGAGTGTTGCATTGCCACGTTGGTCAAAAAGCCACAGAAAAGCCACAAAAGATGCACTTTCGCCTCCCAAGTTCCTACCAGTTCTCCCTTTCTGGAGAGACCTGTTGTTACTACCCCATCTAACTTCACAGAGCACAGCTTTGTGTTCACATGCTGTTGAATCTTTTGTCCGTGCTTATTTCAGAAGTACCCATGAGCCTACATGGTAGAGCTTGCAATGGATCCCCATTTTTCTCAGGCTTTGAGAAAAGGCCCAAACCAGCCCTTTTTAGCCTCTTTGTTTTCTTCCAAGCCAGCTTGTGTTCCTCTGCATGCTGAATTACCAGAAATCCTTCACCAGAAACTGCTGAAGTTTATACCCAGCCTCCTAACCCAGCTCCACATCACTTTATTTTGTTCTCTGAACATTTAATGTTAAAGAGAACTGCTTCCTTTTATTAGAGCAAAGTAAGACAGGCCACAAGCACCTGCTGGAAGGGCTGTGCCTGGAAAACGCAGAGGAAAAGCAGTGGTGAGAGAAATTACTGAAATTACCATGCCAATTTGCTTTCTGCTTACTGTATCCACTTAACAAGACTTCTTTGCACTCCAGTTCCAGCTAACAGTCAGTAGCAGAACTGGAGCAGGCATGAGTTTCACTGGTGTGGCACTCTTTTTACTGCTCCCTGTAGTTTGAAACTGCACATGCATGAGATCTGCACACTAGAGTGGAGGGGAGGGGGTTCGCTGTGGTGCCAAACTCCACAAAATTAAAGGTCGTGTTTCAGTCATTGCTAAAAGGAAGAGATTACTTGAAGGAAAATGTTGGGGCTGCACATAGATCAGTAATCATATCCTGTCTGTACTCTTTTGGTTAGAAAGGCTAGAGGAGCAAGGAACAAGTTTTCAAATCAAGCTTGCCTCACTGATTCAATCCCCCTCTCACAAATGACACTTTTTATCCTGATATAACTTGCTGATTTCAGGCAGCAATGCCTGGCCTGCTGAATCTTGCTAAGAACTCACTTTTTCACAAACATTATATATGTAGGTATCTGTATATGCACACTGATAATTTCATAAAATACATAGCATAACATAACATAAAACAGAACATATTATAAATATATAATTTATGTAGTATATAAAGATTATTCTTTTATGTCTGCTGGAACCACTGACTAGCAGATAAACTTAAGAGCTCCCCTGACATTTTAATCAACACAGGCTTATCATCTGTTTTTCTGACTGGTAACTGCAGAGTATTGCAGGCAAAACAAATTGAAGTGGTTTTGATTGTGATGTGTCATCCATAGTACAACTGCTGTCATTAGCTGTCTCCTCTAATGCAGGGAGACTGCAGTCCACTCCTCTGTTTAATCGCAACACAGAGTACAGGCATTGAGCTTTGTACTCTAAGCAACAGCAGGGTGGGGTGGACATTTTATCATCCTCTTGTTCTATCCAGGACAAAGAGCACAACAAATTTACCTGTATTTTAGATTTCATGATATATTTTTATGTCTAATGCTTGTGGATAGCACCCATTGCAAAACAAAGGTTTATTAGACTCAGGGATTGCCAGTTTCTGTGCATGCTTTCTATGAGCTGGCACTTACAAGAGCCTTGATCTGTGTGCAGCTGTGCTCTCACACCTGTGTAAGTCTACGAGTCATCTCACTGAAATTATTGGAGTTGCTCTAGAATTGTGCCACCGTAGCTGGAAGAAGGGGGTAGTTAAGTTCGTTTTGAAATTCTTCAATGTACTGCAAACTCTCTGCCCTACCAGCCCTCACAGACAGAAGCATATGTATGTAAATGCAGGTGGAGTTCATAAAATAAACGGCCTGACCAAGCATATCCGCCCAGATGAAAGCCAGATGCTTGGGAAGGAAACCCTTTTCCTGCCAATGTGGCCTGAAAGAAAGTTTTTGTATGGTCAGCCTCAGCTGTGTTGCCATGACCAAAAATAGTGTTTTCGGGAGTATTTACAGGGATGAATACACACACACACACTTTTTCTTCCTTGGAAGTTTACAACAGATGCTGCTAAGCTTTGAATTTTCTAATTTAAAAAGCCCCACATGTGTCAATGTCATATGAACTGTGACATTTTTCCTGGTATCTTGTTTCGTAGTTGAAGCTTCTGGTGAAGCCTTGAGAGTGTCAGTTGCTGTGTGTGCAGAGGCTGCCTGTGCATTTACAGGCATGCAATTGAAATTATGAAATTATGCTTCAGAGAAGAGTAACTTTTGCTTGGGCAGCATGCTGTCCTCACAAGACATGCAGTTCACACCCTTCTTAGGCTCTTGGAAAAGTCCCCACATCCTGTCCCACAAGCCTAGACTAGATCAGGGACAACAACACACTTCATCTCCTCCCTTCCCTGAACTGTTCTGACTGCAGCAGCACCTCTCAGTGCCACAGTAAGGAGTTCTGCCATATCCTCTCAATTACGTAATGAGCCACATAATTATTTAACTTAAAGGGAAGCACAAAGACTTTCAACTGAAGGACTTAATATGGGGAACTCAGAATTTCCTATTGTATTGTGATGGAAGATGTTTACAAACTGTGTGGCTCTGTGGCCTAACTATGCTGGCAAATTATCAGGAGCCTCTGAAACCAGTCTGGTCATCCTTCTAAAGGAACAGCACACACAGGCAGCACATTGAAACAACAACAACAAAAAAGTGCAGACAAATCCAAATCCTTCTGTTTGTGCTCCCAGCAGGATGATCATAAGCCAACTTTGATCCAAAACCTTCAGAGCTGTGGTTATGATAAGCAAATTTATTGGTTAGGACATGGTGCTGTGCTGACTTGGCAAGGTTGCTTCCAGGTGGGAACTGGCTTAGGTTCATCTGACCCAAGGAGCAGGCACTACATGCCCAGCTCTTGTCTGTTCCTGTCGGTGGTGACATACAGGAAAGAATTAGAATTATAGATTTCAGCCAAAAGCTGCCACAGCCTGGCAGCTTTGGTAGCCTAAAGGTATGTAAAGATCTCATCACTGATAGAGATTTGCCCAGGTGGCAGGATGTGACAAATACATGTAGACAACTCAACATGCAAACACATTAGACAGCATAAGCCTATTGCTCAGAGATGAAGATAACTGTGTTGGCTCTATCGTGATGTAGTACTGCTCACCCAGGACTGTATCTAATTTAAAATGAGGAATAGGTTGGGAGGTTATTGCTCTGGCAATGATATGACTTGTCCCCATATAAGATCATGCTGTCATTTATGTATTTATTTAATAGACAAATAAGTCAATATATACTCGAAAGATTACTAAAGGGTCATTTTTTTCTTACAGAACTGAGACAACAGCCTTCCAACTGTCCTCTGATGTATTAGTTACAAGCTCAATCACTCCATGCTCAACAGTGGATGTGTCAACGTATTCTTCAGACATGTCCTTTGTGGATTGGTCTCATTCTGCCTCTGTCACAGGGACCATAGAGTCATCCAGTTCAGCACAATCTCATGGCCTAGCCCACACTTTGCAAAGCAGAACCATAGGTAAGCATTGGAAGGTTTGTCTGCCATGTACAGGCGAAGAGAGTCCATTATATGCACACAGTTATGGAAATATAACCCTTTAGCTTGAGAGGAGGCTTTGATGATACTTCAGTTTATGGAAGAGAGCAGCCAACATCCTACTTCATATCCCACCCTCTAGCTGGGACTGATCATATTTCCAAATATGCAAGTGGGAGGAGGGCACTCAGGCAGTAGAGAGTATTCCAGTTTTATCTGAGCTTGTGTTTCACAATGTTTATGGCTTCAATAAGGACCCCACATTTAAAAAGAACCTTATGTTTTCACCTTATATTGCAGTAGGCTTAGCTTTCTTCTGCAGAAAAATCTGTAACTGTGCTCCAAGCAGTTTGTTGATGCCTAGAAGTTTGTGGAAAGATGTGTGTACATGTTCTTGGAGCAGTGATTGGCCCAGAATAAGCTACTGAACAGTGAGCATCCAGCTCTAATCTGTTAAAGGGGTTGTGATTGTTTCCAAATCACAACCAGGGCTGAGAGCAGCCCTGATGCCAGCAGAGGTTCTGTGCCCTCTGCCTTCCCCTCCATGTCATTTTCCCCACAACACTGACGTGTGGGACAGAGGGGAGCTAAGTGACACAGGCTGTCTTGCAGCAAGGTGCTGTTGATGGGGCAAAGGCCCTGACTTTGCATCTGGCCGCAGACTCTTTTTGGCTCTCATAGAAAGTCATGGCAAGACAGACAAGAAACTGTGCAGCTGGGTGGGAATATGTGTGAGTGCTGCTCTGTGCAAGGGACATTCATGAGAGAAGGGGGAAAAACCTCTGTTACATATGTCTGTGGTAAAGCAGAGCATATTTATCCCCAGAGATTTTAAAATGCTCTCTAGTTACTTTGACACAGACCAGAACAATGATGCCAGTCATAGTAGGGGAGTTGGTCAACATCCTGCAAAAAGGGGGATGTAACACAGCTCGTTAAACACAGTTTTGACTAGCATTTCTAGTCAGTGGGCAATTCTGATATTTTGGCATTTGTTTTAGTGATAAACATAGAAACAAACATTTTGAGGAAAACCAAAAGGATTTTTGATTATTGTGATACCTGGTTACTGGTATGTGTGTGTATGCACACATTTTTCTAACAACATTAATAACTTTGGAATATATGCTACCAATTTCTCCCTCCCAGGTTGGCATGGGAATCCTGCTCAAGGATGAGGTCTTGTAGGTTTTCTTAAAATTGACAGTCAGGCATGAGACTGAAGAAAAGGTTGAGATGTCCTCTCCTTCCCATTTATTAGCCATCAGAGAACCCACATGATGCCAGGGCAGGGGGATGGGGAAGGCGAATGAAGAGAAAAAGTCATTAGAAACCAGGCTTCATTAATTCAGCTGCTCAGGGAACAGCATGTTCGGAAAGGTCGAGATGTTTCATTTGACCTAAACAAAATGCTTGGACATTCTTCAGTTGAAATGTTTCATTCCTGCCTATTGAACCAAATCAAAACACTTAGCTTTGGTGAAACACTGTAATGAAGAGCTTGGGAGGGAGCAGCTGCAGCTCATTCTGACTGCACTTGTCAGCTCTGTGGTTGGGAGAAGGTGGCATTCCTTTTCAAAAGGTGCAATGTTGATTGTCTCCGAAGTATTGATGAATTATGATGGATTTCACCCCAAATATTAGCATACAGTGACAGATCCCAGTTTGAGTCCTGCCTGCTGTCTGAAAGGAGTGTATGTCTCCTGCCATAAGCAGCTGTATGGGGGGGGAGAAGAGGAGAAAAAAAAAAAAAAGATGCGAAAATGTTTTATTAGCCTGGTCTTCTAGGGAATAGAGGCTAGTGTGACCTCCATCCATGTGTGCCTGCGTGTGAGCATTTGTCTGTCCTCCCAGCTATATCTTAACTTACTGATCTACTTCAAACAAGCATCCCCTCGGTCCCCCTCGCTGAAGCTCTTATACAGACAATATAGGGTACGTATGTGGAAAGTGGTGGCTTCTGCTGTTCCTCCCTTTGCAGCATGAGCTAGCCACCAGGTTCAGATCCTTCCTTCCTATTCTCGTGTATCAGTGAGCAGTGATGCATGTTAGGCAGTGGGGTTTGCTGACAGACCCCTTCTCCCTCCACACTGTTGCCAGGAAGTTAATTCAACCCCCTAAGTGGAAAACTGGGGTTAAAATCCTTACCCTGATTTGGATAGAATGTGTTTGAATTAAGAGTCTCCTCTCTCTTAGGAGACCTTTCTAACCACTCCATTGCAAATTCTGGGACATGGATGTCCCCTGCTCAGCAATGCAGGCATGACACAGCACAATGGCACAAAAAAAAAAAAAAAAAAAAAAAAAAGGAGGAAGGGAGGAAGAGGTCAGGACTTCACTAGTCTGCAGGGCAGAGCTGGTGGTGCCCCAGGGTGAGCTACTTTGGGCAGCTCGAAGACTGATGGAGCTGGGGTTTCCTGAAGTTCAAGGTGCCACAGGAGAGCAAACTTTGCCCAAGAGAGGCTCTCCTGGAACCTTCCACTACAGCATGTTTTTCACTGCTGAGTGCTGATTGCTACCACAGTTTAGACAGAAGTCTCCAAAAGAGCATAAGCCACTTAGTCAACTGATCCTACTGAATTTCAAAGGTTTCAGCCCTGCCCCCAGCTCCCCAAAAGCCCCCTTTTAAGGGTGCCACATCCTAGCAACAGCAAAAGCAACTGTCAGTCTGATCTCAGGAACAGACTGGCTTGTTGACACATCAGTGAAAAGCAGCTTCAACACAGTCTGCTCCCCTTGTGGCTGCCAGTTCAGCTACCACTCTGAATGTTTGATTTAGCAAAGACTGCAGCCCAAAATAACAAAGCCCAGCATTTCTAGTTCCCAGCTTCAAGAGCTCATTGCCCTGTGTGCTATTTCCCTGCCACTACATGCCCCAATGCTATACTTTAATGTTTCCTAGTTCGGTTCATCCTCAACCAAAGTCACACTCTGTTAAACTGTATGCGAGCTGTAGCTTTCTCTTTAGACTGCTAATGCTGTAGCATTTCACCTCCTTATTACTCCAGTGCTGTTATGCTTGGCTGCCACTAACTGCTCATTTGCCACAGGTAGGTCAACCAGCACCACTGTCCCAGGGCTGGAGCTGTGCTCCCCTGAGTGTCCCAAAGGAAGGGATTACAAATGGCACTGGAAGAGTGTCCGATGCTGTGCCACTGCCACACCATGGTGAAATGCAGAGGGAGAAGGGACTACAGCATTTCGAACACCTTGTTTTTTTGTAACATAGAGAAAAACTCATATGGAAAAAGTAATGATGTCTGTGTAGTTAGAGACAACACTCACAGTGAGCTGGTGAAGCTGATCTGCATTGTGGGGATGCTGTTTTACCCAGACACTTGGCCCCACAATCTTGGTTTGTGCCCCAGTCATTTCAGAGCTAAGATGAGCTCAGGGACTGCTCTTCCCCCGACAATCAATGCTATCACTGTCCCACCATATTTTGTTAGCTAGGTTGCCTGATGGACTCTGATACAGTAAGATAAAACCTTGAAAGAAATCTCAAATGCAAAGTCAGAGAAACAGGCACTGAAAAACATTTAGTTTGTTGGGGAGACACTGGTGTGGGATGTGAGAGGAATTCTCTTGGTAAAGGTTTGCTGTGCATACTCCCTCTCTGGTTCTCCCTGCCTTTGCCAGGGTGGGGAGTCCCTCATAGTCCCTCTTGGACACTTATATTTGAAAAGAGGAACATAAAGGGGATTAAGGGATGTTATCACTTTCATTTTGTAATTTGAAGGGAGCCTCTAAATATTCATTATCCGCTCACAGCTGATGCTTTGCCATCCTGCAGCACTGAAATTGAAGGATGACAATTATATCGCTGATGGCAAAATTAATTGTGTTTTTTGTTGTTGTTGTTGTTTTTGTTACTCAAGGTAATTCCAATGAGGTAATAAATCTACATGTCAGTAACAAAATACTCAGTTTACCAGCTGTGCTCTATTTTATAGCCATAGGTTTAAGGATTTGAAAAGAGTGTTTGCTAAGCACCACTTTGCAATTAGAGGCAAAGGGGAAATAAAATGTGCCATACTTGTTACCAAAAAAAAAAAAAAAAAAAAAGAAAAGAATTCAGTCTCATAATTTGTCTTTTTGTTAATATTGCATAACACTGTATCTTTGTCTTTTGCTTGCTCATCAGCTCAGCTCAGAGATGGTACTGAAATACCAGACTGGGAGCCTGCTCCACCAAGAAACCTTAGCCTTCCATTGACAGTGTCACGACAGCACCAGAATTATTTCAGCCCTTTGCTTATTGACTCAGGGAAGATTGCCCAGAGCCTCAGATGCATAAAGACTTATGGAAGGACCTGTTCTGCTTATGAGGACTACTACCAGAACTCTGCATCCAGGTACAGGCACAGTTGAGGCCTTTCCTTTGGTTTATTTCTGTAGGTAAGAGATGGTGTTTTGTGCAGTATCTCATTTAGAATGACTGTGAAACTCAAGCAAACCCTCGACAAGAGGCTGAGTACCCTTTAACAAGAGTTATTATCCAGAAGGGTACTGGCAAACCTCAGAGGCTTTGAACTGTAAGGATCATGCTTACTGCTTTAGGCACAACTGCCCCCAAATTGGACTTAATCCTCGGAAAAGGATTAATCACACATCGTTAACTATATCCCTTTCAATGTTTGCTAATTTATTCTGCCTAGGGTTGCAAAGACACTTTGTGAATGCAGCCCAGAAAAGGAGCAGAAATACTGTATCTCATAGGTGGTTTGGCCTTGTCTTCAACTGATCCCACCCAGTTTTGAATCCAAGAGTAGAACCAATATTGCAGGGGTTTTTAGAGGGTCTGCGTGGAGTTCTATGAGGCAGTGACAGGCAGCCAGAGAAATGAACTGGGCTGTACATAGTTTACATCAACCTAGAAAAACCACTAAAAATAAAGTATTGTCTCCAGAGAAGATAGTTACCCCAAAAAGGCATTTGCCATCTCTAACTTGGCTTCACATATACTACGGGTTGGGAAAGACCTATAAAACAGATTCTCAGCTGGTTTCAGTTATCTTAGATCCGTCTCCCTGAGAGAAGTGGCAATAACTAACAACTCCAGTTTTAAGGCTAATTCCTATTTAGACACTGTCTCCTGCAGAATGTTTCCTGCCACATTGTTCAGTGGATAGGCCTGCACTTGCTTATTGCTAAGATTGCTTTCACAATAGTCAACACATATTTCTCCTTTTCTAATGTTATTTCATAGGTGATAGTTCAGCCACATAAAGCCTTTGCCTTTTTGGTATTTTCCACCCATATGCCATACCCATTCTTATCACATGACCCCATGATTATCTGTTGCATACAAGCATTTTAGCTCTTTTCTGAAGTTACCCCCAGTATCCCTCACCATTATACTGTTCTATGATTCCTTCTTAATTAACATTTTTTTGGTCATGAGAAGTTCTAAAATGAACCAAATGCATATTATTTCAGTCTTATTCCAGCCTAAATCTAAACATTCTAGCACAGTAATGCTCAAAAACGAGTCAAAGCATCATTGGTGAGTTTGCAAATATGGTGCCTCAGGCCAAGACACGAGGGGTGGATGAACTCTGTGTTGCCTGTCTTAGAAGTGGGATAACTCTGTCTACCTGCATTTACTCCTGACACGAGATAGAAGCAGTTAGGAGGAATTTTCTTGTAGTCAATGAAGCTGCACTGGTGCATGTGAACATAAGGACCAGTATTTCTACTTTGCCTCCTCCACAGCTGCACAAAACGAATCTTCCATTTTGTGCTTCCTACTCTGCATGGACAGTGCCATCAAATTGTAATAGCGTTTTTTCTTCTGTCAGATTACAAATGCGTCATTGGCTTCCTCGTAGCTTTCTTCAGCATTATTGCTCTCTATACGTCTCTGTCTTGGTGAATGTTATTTCCTCTCTGCTGAATTAGTTCACCATTTTCCAAGAGCTGCATCTCACTTATTTCCTAACCATATTTCTAAGCCCTCCAGGGCTCTTTGTATTATTTCTTTTGTCCTCATTTGTGTTCCCCTACCCTCTCCTCTCAACTTAATGTTATCTACATATTTTATTAACCAGCTGTTTTATTCCCCCTTCCACATCACAAGTGGAGATGCTCCATGAAATGAGAACTACCTGTCATCCCTATAGGGAACATATGAGACACAACCCGCTTGTCTATTATTATTCCTTGTTTGCAGTCTTTCAGATGGTTCCTGTGACAGTATTTATATCTAAACCAGTGGGAGATAATATTTGAGAGACACTTTATCGAATGCTTTCCTGAGTCCCAGCTCTTTGATGCCTGCTGCTCTCCCTGCTCTCACCCATTTTGAAATTCTCTGGACGTTGTATTCATTTTCCTCATTGACTTAGTCTTTGTAAACCTACTCCATGCATGTTTCCATAAAGAGATCTGTGTAATTCTTAAGACATAGGGAGAGCCATGAAAAGATACCTTTGAAAGACAGAAAGAAAGCCACAGTTGTGATCAGAGCTCTAAAGCTGTTTCCAAATACCAAGTTATACCATACTATTTGACTGTGCTTGTGGAGAATAACTCTAAATAGATATTAAGAGATAAAAGAGATTGCTTTCCTGTTTATGCATTTCCTTGTATTGCATGAACTGTTTTCCAGTGGGGACTGAATCACATCTTGTCTCATACAAAAAGCAAGAGAAGTCATTAGCTCTGCTAATTGTTTAGGGTAAAAAAGCAATGACAGTTCACTTTGTGTGTGGTTAAACTTGTTAAATGCACAAATTAAACAATTCTTTTAATTCTCATTTGATTCGTTATTCCTCCATGCCAGCACACTAGCACTTTTTAAACTCTGCTCACTTTGTATTTAGAGTATACCTTTTCCTGGAAAACACATTCAATAAATACAATTACATGGTAGCATGCAATACACAGTCTTTTAATTTGGTATTGCATTATGCAACATCTTTTCTGTTAGCATGAACACAGTGTGAATACATAATTTAGTAATACTTCTATAAAGAGTTGATGAATAGTATGTCTAGATCTGATTTGTTATGAAGTCACAGTATGAGCATACACAAACTCAGTGGAAATATGTGGTTTGGGCCAACAAGGATATTTTGGTGTTAGTGTTTACGATCAAGTTTAATTTATATTCATTTGCTTTTCAGATTATTTGAAAATGCTGAAAGCACCTTGAAGATTATATGTTTAATTAGATTGTTAACTAATATCTTACTGAGAAATGTAAGGTTGCTGAGAAACCAGGATTTTCAGCTGCATCAGGATTTGCTGCATCAAATTTGCTGCTATCAGCAGTGTGCAGGGAGACTGACAGTATTCTCACACAGGTCTTGGCACTGATTCTTGGAGACAGCCACTGTGTGTTGTTCAGTGTTGCCCTAACCTCTCCCTGACCTTCGTACCTGAGCAGTGTTAAAGCCAGTATATTTTGGTGTTGACCGTTTTGCAGAAAATAATAGAGGTGGATGCTGATACTTGAAATTTTGTGCATGGCTATTGAAAATGATCAATCTGTTGCACTAAGTGAATGTGCTATATACTGAGGATGTGCTCAGTGAACACCTGTACAGCATTCTGGATCTCAGCTGAGCCCTGGCATTCCAGGCCTACAGCTAGTATGTATGCAACATTTCCCAGCCTGCAGCAAAGAAAGATCTGAGCCTTCTTACAGGACTTTTCCAGTCATATCCTTCTAGTATAAAATCTATTGGCATACAAACAAACGTATTTGCACTTCTGGAGATAAGCTTTTCCCAACATACTAATTAGATCAATCTGTAACTTTCTTGAAGACTTCGGAACTTAGAAAGACTTTAATTCTTGGCATATTTCAAGGCTTAAAATGTCCTGTTGCTGCCTCTACCACATAAGAGAGGACCAGTGCAACTGGCATCCTAATGGCAGGTCACAGGTGTATGGCTGATGCACACTGTGCTACCAAGAGCACTGACATTTTTTCTTCCCTTTCGCAATGTGCAGCATTGTGTATATTATAGAAAATTTTGGATTCTGTTCCAACAGACCACATTACCACACTGCAGAGGTAAGTACAGCATCAATGCACGCTGACATCTCCTCCATGCACTTTAGCATTTTAGCTCCAGTCCCCAAGGAGTTGGTCCAGTATTTTGAAAGGTAAACTAGCTTGCTAAAAAAAAAGCTTTAAAGTCTTCAGTGAACATCTCCTTAGAGATGTAATTCCTTCAGTAAAACTAACAAAAGTCTGTTACCATCCAGGGAATAGCTGGCTGTACAAGTCCTTAGAGAAATCCTTAACATCTCAGTTTCCTCACTGTCTCTCTCCTTCTTGTTACATATAGGGCTTTTGCATGGGACTAAGAGCCACAGGTACACACAGAGAGAGTGCAAAAATGAAATTCTAAAGGTGCCTTCCTATCCTGTGCCCATCATAGACATTGTCCTGAGGCACTGTTGGAGTTCTAGGACTATAATGATGTAGGGATCAACTGTGGATTTAAGTCATAGCATTTTACATCTGCTTTGTGCATGTGTAAATGATGACTTACAACCAGATCATGAAGGATCAGTCTCTGCACCAGCAGTTAGCAATGTTATTGAGTACAGCTGGCCATCTCTTCAGCCGCACTGACACGATGGCTTGCAGAGACTGCCAAAAAGTCTCTGAATAAAATAATGTCTCCCAAAACCTTTTATGCTGGGTTATTTCAGTGATCCAGTTTAGAGTGTGGTTCCAGGAGGAGGGAGAAAGGAGAAGTGTGCCAAACTGGTGGCCAGATGAAAACAAGCAGCCATAAAAGTGAGGGGGGATCAGGTGCGGTCTGAATGTGAGCAGTTCCTCTGCCTGGTTTTGCTTCCAAAACCCCTCTGAGGCTCTGTGTCTCTGGGAAGCTGTCTTCAAGCCTTTCCTTGCTGACATGAAGCACTAATAGTCCAGGACTGAGTGGGAAGAGGAGCACTCTGGAGTTCCCCAAGTTTGCAGGGAGAGAAGAGGCAGCAAAGTGTTTTGCTCTCTGTGTGTGTCCTCTCTAGCCATAGACGGGGCAGGTACCCATCAGACTCCACTCTCAAATCTATCAATGCCAGCAGCAACCTGGAGGCAGCCTGGCTGTCATGAGCAAGTGTGACTCAATGCTGCAGTGCACAGCTGAATTATTTGGGGTGGGTGGGCAGAATTTGTCACACTGTCAGTGAGGATTTTGCTATGTTAAGCAAGCACATAAGCTGTCTGGGGTGTTGGGTCAACCTTTACTCTACACACAGACATCTGTGACTTAAACTTACTGGAAGAAGACAAATACGGCAAGGGAAAAAGCATTACACACATAGAAGACAGAGAAAAGACACTGCACCAATGCTAAGTAATCAAATTAATTGCAGTGGATGCTGCATGAAAAGCTGAACAATTCTTAGACTTCATTCACAACCTGTCTAATGAGACCTATGATGAGTATTACAGACTGGGACTGAGTGTTTAAATGTACTTTCTTGACATGTGCACTACTAAAAGGAACAGTCAAGTAATAAATATGTTTTCCAGTGCTTAAGGGAGATTGAGTGTTCCCCTGCTCATGCAAGAAGTCCCCAGTCTTACTGGAGATGCAAAACAGATCCCGCAGTTCTGAAACAACGGGTGGACGGAATCTCAGTCTTGTAGCACAGAGCCTCCCTGAGTTTACAATAACAAGTTAATAATGGAGGTCTGTCTTTCTCCAGGAAGGTAAAAACAATGAGAGGCAGGAGGAGTAAGGTATACTGATGAACAGGAGGAATTTTCTAAACTTACAAAGGGCTACACAACTCCCTGTAATCGTAATAGTCTAAGTACACAAGACAGCCTTAGAGCTTGTAGTCTACATAGATTTAGACCAAAAAAAAAAAATAATAATAAAAGAAGCAAATGGTACACTGATAACTTTTTTGCCCCCCAGAGAATCTTTTAGTTTGTGTTGGTAACAGATGCTACCTAAGAGTGAAAGATAAATAGAATATGCTGCTAATTTCAGTGCCTTTTTTTTTTTTAATCAGTTGAAAAGCATGACATAAAAGATAAGATAGCAGTACTGTAAGTATTCTGCCTGTGGTATGTTTACTTACCATTAATTACTGACATCTAGCCTAGTTGTTGGAAACATGTATTTTTTCAACTAAGCAATGGCTTTTACACTTTCAAATCTATTTCTTTTCTTTCAGTGCTATTGGAAATGTGAAAATTTCTGAAGTTGATCCAGATGGTCATTTTATAAAGATCCTGAACTCTTCCCCTGAAAAAGAGGAAAACATTGGGAATTATGTCTTAAAGCAGGACATCCAAGGTCAACCAGTGGCTGAGTTTTGCTTTCCCCCTGAGACCAGGATGGAAGCCAACTCCACTGTAACAGTGAGTGGGGGGAACCTGCGTGTCATTCTTCAGTCTCTGCCTTGCAGACTAGGGTTCTCTCTTAGTCTAGCAGTACAGAATCAAACTTTTAATCAAATCAATCAAATACAAAATTTGTATTTTCAGAAGGGCTAACACTCATAAATAATGATGAATTCAGAAGGAACAGTTAGTGTCCACCACCAATACAAGCCTGGCATTTTCATCATGTATCCATCATTTTATATCGCCAAGCAATGGAAAGCTATCCTGAAAAGTTCTTGTTTGATAAGTTCCTGTTTCCGGGAACATAGTAATGTTTCTATTACTATGGTTTTGTGCATACTCTGAGATGTTGCTGTAGTAGGATTTCAACTGAGAATTTTTAAAGAAGTGATATTACTTTTTAGTCTGTGCCCACCATCTGAGGACAGCTGTTTTCCAGCAGAGAAAACCATAAAGCATTTGTTCCTGACTATGCCTTGTGTGACTTCAGGCAAAACAATGAAACTCTGTGCCTTAGTTTGCCACTCTATAAAATGATGTTCTTTCCTTTGATGTCATGCCAGAGCTATATGTTAAAAATTCAGTGCATGGGCTGCTGCTTTTCAAAATAGACTTCTCCTCCGAGAGTTAGATGTAGCTTTTTGTCAGCCTGAATAAGAGATAGAGAGGTAGGTAGGACCTAAGATGCCAAGAGTCAAATAGTTGGGGTTGTTCAACCAGGAGGAGAGAAGGCTCTGTTGAGACTGTTTTGCAGCCTTTCAATACTTAAAGGGGATTATCTATAAGACAGATGGGGAGAGGCTTTTTACTAGGGTCTTTAGTGATAGGGGTTATTGTTTTAAACTAAAAGAGGGTAGATTTAGATTAGATACAAGGAAGAAATATTTCACAATGAGTGTGGTGGGGCACTGGAGCAGGCTGCCCAGAGAAGCTGTGGATGCCCCATCCCTGGAGGTGTACAAGGCCAGGCTGGATGGGGCTTTGGGCAAACTGGTCTGTTGGGAGCTGTCCCTGCCCATGGCAGGGGGGCTGGAACCAGATGGTCTTTAAAAGGAAGCTAATGGTGTGACTTTCCTTTGATGTCAAGCCAGAACGATGTGTTAAAAAAATCAGTAAATATTCAGATGATTCTACAGTTCTATAATTCTGTGATCCATGGTAATGAAAAAGGGTCAGACATGAATAAAACCAAAGGTGGTTTTGGAACTGACCAAAACTCAGTTGTAGCTGTAGCTAAGGAGTATCTGCCAGTATCTGCAGCCAGCCTCCTGTAACCTCAGGGATGAAAATACCAAGTACTGTACCCACACTCAGAGCAGACACAGTCTTTCTAGAACTGACTGCCTGTCTGGCTGCAAGACACTTTGAAGAGCTCTCCAGAAATTTCAGCTAACTGGCTTTGAAGCACCAACCATCAAAAAAGAAGTGGTCCTTTCTGAAATGCTGTGATCAGTACTAAGGTCATTTACATGGTTACTGTTCCCTTCATCACTAAATGGCTTTTGGGTGGACAACTGCCTGAGGTAGAAGGTTCACCACAGTTGCTGTTTCAGCAAATGGAAGCAGAAGTTTTCTGCTGGTTTTTTAATTTCAAAGGGTTCTATTCAAGTTGCCAACTCTTGCATCTAAAATTCATTTACAATAGCATCTGTGTCAGAGAGCCAGCTATGCAGGACTTCCAGGCCCCAGCTCTCTGTGAGAGCAACAGATGAACCAAGGCAAAATGTTCAAATTAGACGCCAGAGTAGATGGTTGAAGTATAGCCCAAAGCCTCTTTTACCACCAGTGCTTATTTTCTTTTTTTGACATGAAAATCAAGACCTCGCAGAATACAATGAGAAGTCCATGTTCACCACCAAGTTCAGGACAGCCCTGCATGAGCCCTCCTATAAGAAAGCTGGAAATGCAAGCTGGCAGGAGCTCAGAAGAGCCACAGTCACTGCTGTCTTCTGGTGTATGTCTGAAAAAGCCACAAATATACTTTGGCAAAGTGCTGTATGATGAGCACTTTTGGAAGAGATTTTTTTTTTTTTTTCCCAAGGTATTTTTCCTTTAGAATTGAACGAGAATTGTTTTGGCTCCCAGGAAGAGATTGGAGCCATTTTCTCACAGATGGCAAATGACAAATCCTTTAGGAATAACACTTGCAAAAGCATGTTGTGGTTGTCTTATATAAGAGAAGTATTTTCGTAACAGGTCCTTTTGCTGCTGTGCTTGTGATAAAGGTCACAGATAATTGTGTTCAATTTATAAAGCACAGCATTATTAAACCTTTTGTATGAGGATAAAAGTACAAAAAACTTCTAGTCCCCAGCTGAGGCTGCTTCTCCCTGAACAGAGGGAAACCAGAATCAAGCAGAGACTGGAATTTTAAAGCTGATATCACAGATCTCTTCAAATGCCCCTGGTAATTTAGCAAATAAAAGAAACTGCCTATTTTTAATCTTACCCTCAGCAAGCCAGACCAAAAAGTCCTGGATTTACTATCACACCTTGAAAACTGCCTTTGCTAATCTCTGTTAATCCACAGGAGAGGTACTTTAAAATAATCGCTATAACTAAGCTGCAAGTCTTGCAATACAGTTCTTTCAGCTTTGATTTCACAGATCAAATGGTGACCAGCATTACAGAAATCAAAAAGGAAAAGGAAAACCTGATGTTTTTACTGAGTCCCAGCATTATATAAATATCCAGGAGCCATTTTGACTTTAAAGTGCTGACTGCTTGATCTTTGCAGGTTTGGGCAGCAGATGCTAAAGTGCTTCACAGACCTCCCTCAGATTTTCTTTGGAATGGCCTGGAGACATCTGGGACAAGCCTCAACTGTACTACCATTCTCTGTGACCCCAATGGTCAAGTGAGTGCCCCGAGCAAAGCCACCATGTTCCCATATCCAGACAACTCTCTTGCTGGACTTCCTTCCAGAAGTTTAGGGTGATTTTGTTTAACTCCTGGTAGAATCAAGTCCAAGCAATCCAAGTATAGAAAAGCTGTGATTTCTGTTAACTTCTCTTCAGTATGGATGATAATAGGATCTGAAGGACTGAAGAAAGCAGTAGATTGATGACACACTTGTTGAATGAAGGGCTAAAATCCTTACAACAGTTAAAGGCAAGGCTACAAATATGCAATTTGCCAGCCTATCCTCTGCCACTGTACTTCAGCCATGAAAGATCCAGTTGTGCCGATGGCTATTCATCCAATGGCTGCCCATGCCATTGGCTTGTCAACTAGGTTGAATTTTTTTAGCCAAACTTCTATTTACTTGGGAATGAGAAAGAGCCCAAGACCATTTTTTTACCTGATAGCTATCCAGTAGCAACTATGATTTTGGTCATTTTTATCTATACAAACTTGAAGAGGTGACCAGAAGGAAAAGACCTGTGGTTTTCATAAACAGTGTAAGTTGTACGGCTTCCCCAAGGCAGCATAAATTACATCTTACAAACTAGGAAGTGTATGTTGACTTCTAGTATCACCATTTCATATTTACTTCTCTTTAAGCTCAGTTTGTCCATACTTGCTATTACATTGTCCATACAGCCAGGAAATCAGAGGCTGAAAGGGATACATGATCACCTCTGCCAGGATTGTTCCTAGCTGGGGTTTGTTGAAGTAATTCTGGAAGACCTTCCGTAATAGACAATCTGTTTTAGTGCCTTGCTCTCCATATGGTTAGAAAACCTTTCTTAGAGCCCAAACCGAACATCTTCTGTCTTGGTTTTAGTCCATTCCTGTCCTATCCACTGTGGCCATGGAGAAGAGATTTCTTATCAGCCTTTGACAAACTTGCCAAGGTGTCATGTCTTCTGTCTTCTTCTTTGTCTGATTCACTTAATTGGAGCAGTGGAATTTCAAGCCTCTTACATGATGGTTCTACCCTAGATATATTTAAAGACTAGAAATTGATTTCAAAGACCAAAGAAAAAAATCTGGAATTTGATGCTTGCCATTACTATTTATAGACATTTTAGAAATATATTGGAGTGCCTATCCCTTCCTGGTTTATCTACAATAAACACTTAACTTGATGAAGAAATGAAGAATACAAATAAGAAGTGATATGTTTTTTCAGGCTGTGTCTTGGTACTCTCCTCTCTACTGGAACGGAAAACAAGGATGGCTGGCGAAAGAGGAAAGTGAAGACTTTGAGAACATTGTTGTACCAACTTTCTCAACAGCAAAGCAAAAAGAAGAATGGGAAGAGAAACAGGAATTTACAGTAACTGATAGAAAGTGGAAGAAGGCTGACTTAGAACAAACAAGAAAAAAAGGACAAAGCTTCATTAAAAGGTGTCTGACATTCATTGAGTGTACTTTGTAACTACAGTATTGTGCCAGACTAGTGTTGTAAGTGGATGCTTTTAAGTGAGCATCTTGGTAAGCAATTTTTAAAAGGTTTGGAATTTTGAAAATAAGAATTAACCTTAATCTCCAAACAGGTATCCAGCCAGCCCCAAATTCCTGATAGGAGTCAGTCAAGACTAAGTGAAAAGTAAAATTCAAGTAAAATTCTGCTTAAATTTTTAACAATGTAGTTGAGCATCCGAGTCTCAGTCACGCACCCCTGAGCAGAGTCATTGACTATTTTAAATAAGGAACACAATATTAGATTTTATTTTCTTTATAAGTCCCCTCCAAAATGTTTGTACCAGGAACTTTAAAGCCAGGTCCACAACAGAAAAGCATGTGCAAAGGAGTTGATATACATGTAGTCTAAAAATAAAGGATTAGCCGATCTGGATATATTTAAAAAAAAAAAAAAAAAGAAGGTTGGTGTCTCTTCTCATGTTTGAAGTAATTGCTTTTCTCTACATTTCTTTAGATTCTTTCTGTAGATGTTCAGAAAGATGAACAGTTTTCACCATCAATTGGACTGGCTGTTCTTTACAAGCTGTGTTCTTAAAAATGGCTAAATCACTTTTGCTCAATCTCTCCAAAGAAACTAACTCAGAGGCAGGGAGAAATTATGTAAGAATTCAGTGCAAAGAGTTCAAGTCTGGCAGAATTATAAGCAATGGCAAATGGTAAATTATAATGTGATATGTCAAACAATATAGAAGTTGCAGTTATTCCACCTACAAGTAAATGCAGAACATGTCAAATATTTGTGCTGTTTATTAAATAAATAGCATAAATTTGATGTACATGTGCAGTAAACACAGTAAATCTATGCAAAATGCAATCATAAATATGATAATGCAATACAATAAATAATGCAGTAATAAATACAATATGGATGCATTTTTTATATCCTGTACACATACATGCATGTGCAAAATGTGAGAAATATACACAGTAAAGTTAATTGAATTTCTCTTTACAGGGAAAAAAAGACCTTTGCATGCCTGTTTCCTAATCAGAGTGCCTGGTGCCAAAGTCCAGACTCTCCCACCCATCCTCACTTTTCTCTGGTTAGACCACTAACCCTGGGGAATGACGGCAGCAGCTTGTGCAGGCAGTCTCGGTGTCAGTCGTCAAGGCCTGACCCTGTGCCAGGTGAGTTCAGGAGCTGACACAGTATGGGCTGCAGATGGAACAGTGGTGATACGGTGGAGTTCCTGACACGAACTGTTGAGTACTTAAAATGCATATATCTTACTACCTGGATGTACCTCCACACTCTACTGCAGTGCTCTCCAAACTGTTTTAATTGAACACTCCTACCTGTCAAAAAACATAGAACACACATCCCCAGTATATTCATTTTTATTTATTTATAAATTATATACATTTACTACTGTAATAATATGTACATTGTAAAAACTACATAAAAATAGAAATTAAAAAAGGATGAGATAAAGATGAACAAAATTTTAAATACTTTAAATATTTTCTTTTACTTATTAATAGTACAAAAACATTTTCTTTCCATACCCCAATGGATTGTCTTGCACACCCCCTGGAAGACCACTGCTCTGTAGAACTGCATATGTTGGGAAGATGGAGGGAGGAAATTGCTACTAATATTAATGCTTTTATAAAGTGAGACAGAATATTAGGAATCAACAAAAGAAAGACACTCTTACATTGGCAGTGAATTGCTAATTAGGCAGTGGTGAGAAAGCTAGTGTTTAATTTGGGTGCTTCAAACCCAGAAAGCTGTTGACATACTGGAAATAGTTCAGGGGAGGATGACAAAGTGAATAAGTGTCTGAGGAGATTGATTCATTAAGATTAAAAAGACCTAGATGTGTGTTTGACAAGCAAGGTGATCATCATACAGAGGGACCCCAATCTCCTCTGCAAGAAGGAAAACTCTTCAATCCAAAATATAGAGCTGAAGGGAATAGAAACAAGTGAAAAGCAGGGAGGCTTAGGTTGCATATGTATGTAAAACATAGATTTAATGATCTGTAGTGTAGTTTTCCTGTTGTGCTCATTGCTCCATTTAGTATTTTAAACCACTTACAAATTTCAAGTGCTCAGTTCCAATTAATTTTAAAGGAACTGGGTATCCAGCTCCTGAGGACAGCTTTGCAACAGTTCTTTATTTAGTGAGTGTTTAGAACTAGGCCAGTCAAATTCTTTGAATGTATTAACGAGGTCAGTCTGTGACTGGTGTGGATAAGTGACCATGTAGTTCTCAGGAATTTTTCCCCTTTTCTAGGAGTGCCAGCCTATGAAAAGCCTTTCAGCTTGAGCTAGGAAAGTGTTTATGCTTAGCTTTATCTGAATAATAACCATGCAGGAACATCCTTCTCAAATGCCAAATCCAGGCAAGGCAGATTAAGACCTGATGGAGTGAGTTCATGGTTTGTTTCCTGCTCTGTCGTAATGGTAGGATCATATGTTTGAAAGATTTTTCCCATTTCTTAAAACTTGATTTGGCTCTTTCTGTGATGCTCTGATCTTCTGCAGAGCTGGGTCTCCCATATCTCCTCTGCTTGTTTCTCAGACAGGGAAAAGCTGGGAAGAAGTTAGCACTTGTAAGCTGGGGCTGCTGGTAGCATCACAGGTTGTGTTCCAATACACAAATGCTGTGGACAAAGAGGAGACAGTCTGTAGAGCAAAACCCCTGGTGTTGAGGATCTGGCCTTCACCCTATACATATTTTAAGGGTGATTTAGTTTGTCCCAGCTCTAGGCTGGTCCAACAGACCATGAGGGGGCACCTACATCTGCACAGTGCAGGTCCTTTTTGGGCATGGAATTTCCCAGGCTGCTGCGACACCCACTCATGCTCACCACTGGACTGCTCAAAGTAGTTTCCATCTGAACACCCATTTGCAGCCAGAGTGCTTGAGGTGCAGCTGCTTTGGAGAACATCTTGTGGCTTGGTTTCATTCAAGAGGAATCCAGCTCATGCACTCAATACTGCTCCATGATGTAAACCTGAGTGCCATGGGCAGGGAGAGTGGCAACTCCACTGCAAAGGAACAGTCCTCTTCAGACCCAGAGCACAACATGCACACACAGGATGTCCCCCAGTGCTTCTCCTGGGAGCCAAAGGGAATTTGATGACACAGCTGGGGTGAACTGCACACAGTCTTCTTTGCTGCATTCCTGTCTCTTCTCACATCCCTGCAGATGGAGGCCAGCGCTCTTGCCACAGGCTACATTTGGTTTCAGTTTTCAAGATTATTTTTTTCCTTGCAATCATTAAGGCTAAAACTTTTCTCAGTAAAGCAAGCAACATGAAACCAAAGCAAAACACCTTTGAGAGTGTAATGCAATCATGTCCCCAGTCTGCAGGCATAGAGACAGGGCCTGCCCACAGACCTATCTCCAAAGTGTGGGAACTCTGGAGGCAGAACTCAAGGCATGGTGGTCTGCCATGCATTAAATGTGTCTGATTTTCTGTAGGTAATCTCATGCAACTTGCATACCCTTAGTCTCTCTTTCCCAGATCTTTGCAAAAGATAATTCAGTTCTATTTACTTATGGTTCATTTGCAGTTCTTTTCACTACTGAAGTATGAAATTATTCCTCTTAATACTGTCAGGAAAGTTAATAATATCCAAGATATCAGATTAAAAATTAAATATGGGTACAACCATTATTTTCCTCTGATAAATATTCATGCGTAGTACATATTACTGCAGGATTTTTCCATAAATAAATATATAGAGAGATGTAGGCGTCATTCTTATTTTATTACAAAGCAAAAATTACAAGATCTTCAGGCAGATTTATATGAGTACTTAGACATTATTAGTGATGGTGGCAGAATGATGATTTTCAAATATATGATGGAATGATGTTTTTGAATATATGACTACTTTTTATTATTTTTTCTTTTGATTTTACTTTCATTGCTTCAAAACTTTTAACTAGCAGGCTTATAAATGCTATGAGCAACTGCAATCCACAGTAGTATGCATAAGTACAGTCTTGCTTAGTTCTTGATTCACAAAAGCTTCCCTGTTCAGACTTGTTCATAAATGCTTTCTAATATCAGAGACTTAGAGAAATCAGTATTGTTAACTTCACATTTATTTTCTGCTGCAAACATACTTTTAATCAATATTAAGTATGGATATTTATTTTCCTAATGCCATAATATAGCAATGTTAGGTCAATGCTATTGAATCAAAATAGTGATTCAAAGTATTTTTACATTTTCCTCTCAGATACTGAATTATGCTTTTCAAAATCAGTTTAGTATATGATCATATCCCAGAAGTATACAATCATATCCCAAACATTATATTTTTGGCCTCTTTTTTGTATGTTAATTGCATCAATCTGCAATCTGTACAGAACAAAGTACATTCGGTGACATGATGGTGTTTAAAGAAGTCTGCCTTGCCTCTCCGTTTGCAACTCAGCATTTGTCCTTCTAACTGCTACAGAACAGGAGTTGCATTATCCTGTCCCAGTTACGCTTGTAGCTTTACTTTGAGTCCTTGCAGTTGATAAGACGATGGTAGGGTATATAGTGCCTGTTCCTCTCAGCATCTATCCACCAATATGAAATTTCAGCTGGCACATTATGGTTCCTCCACTTTGGCTTCTGAGTCCCTCCTGAGGCTGTGCACAGTTTTCTTTGGTGCTGACAACAACAAAAAAAACACTCCCGAACTCTTTGAACTATCTCTTTGGTTTCCAATTATCCTCTTTTTCTTAGACTGATAGAAAGGGAAAAGTTGCTCCTGCCATAAGTCACAGTGTTTAAGCCAAGCTTCTTGCATTTCAGGCTCATCATTTCAGGTTCATCCCATTTTCCTCAGAAACACATTGTTGTGATGATATTTTTGTTGTTGTTGTTGATGAATTTCACTCTGAATCAAAATGCTCAGCTGTGAACTTTGCAAGGAGTTTAAAAATAGCCATGGAGCATATTGTAAAGAGAACACTTTGAAGCCTCAGCCAAGACTAACGTATTTTGTGAATCTGAATGTTTCCCTGTTGCTGGGGAACGTTAATTAAGCTTTCAGTGGCAAATTGAACCTGCAGACAAGAAAAGTATTTAGCATACATTTTTCAGTGAAAATGAGCCAATTCCTACAACTTTCTTCTCTAGCAAATGGAGCTAGCCTGTTAGTATTCTTTTTTTCCTCAGCAGTTCTCATGCTTTTTGCTCAGAAAAGAAGAGTCAAATGAGACAAGATGCACTCATATCATGAAGCATTCATTCTCTTTACTTGCCCAAGGACTTTTGTACATTGTGGGACCACCCATGTAATTTCCAGTAAACAATGAGAAACGTTTACAGATTTCTCTGTTTTCTCTCAGGATTCTGACATATTACAGACAAGGCCGAGCAATAACATTGGCCAGTGTAAATGATGTACAAACATGCAGATGCACTTTTTGAGTACCAAGAGGTCAAACAATATTACAGCAATATCCTATGGTACGAAATTAAGTCAGCTACTTTCTCCAGTAGATCAGCTAACCAGTGCGGATTTATGAATTGTGCTTATCATTGCTAAGACATAAAGGAAAGCATCTCAGCTTGCTCAGTACAATGTCATTCACCCTGGCTGACAGCCATGTGCTCCACTAGTCTGCACCTGTGTGTTTATGTGCCCTCTGCCAGCTTAAGTTCTTCTGTAGCCTTCAAAACCTTAAAAAAACTTTTCAATTTCTCACTGGGTTAGAAACTTAATCTAGAATTCAAAGGGTCAGTGTAGCTATGGAAGAGGATGATCCAGTAAAGAAAACAATTCTGTTAGCAGAAAGCTATGAAAGTATCCTGACATCATTTATTAGGTACCAAATGCTCTACCATCATTTTGTCATAACCGTAGGAATTCTGGTTTCTTTTTTGCTGCTTTCTCAGCCATGATATCTTATGACTTGACAGTATGCTTCCCTACCCGACAGGCAGAATGCCAGTCTGTCTGAATTATTTCCTTATCTATTTGTTGTTTACTGCTTAAAAACCACTGATGTAATGTGCATTTGTGTATCTCTGGTGCTCCAGGGTAAAAAAAAAAAAAAAAAAAAAAGTTATTCTGACTTAAAATTTTGTGGGAGGGAAAAACTTGGACAAATCAAAGAGATTAATAATTCTTTGTTATCAAATATAGAAAACATGAAATAAATTACATTATGTACAATGTCTTTGAATAACATAAGCAAGCAATGTTCTTTCAACTCACTGTTTCAGTATGAGCTACATTATGAGTACTCCAGTGACACTGAAAGAAAATCAAGGATTTATACATGGTTTTGTTGAGAAGGAGGAGAGATAAAGGTTGGTGAGAGACTTTCTTAAGACTGTGAGAAACCAAAATACCCCTGCCACTGTTGATGTAGGTGTCCAGAGGTGATAGGTTGTGTAGCAGGTATACTGTCTACAGCCTCAGAAAGTCAGCAACACTGACCTGCTTCATGTATATTAGCATCACTTTGCAGCCCAAATGTCGTCACTGCACTGAGAAGCGCTAACACATTTGGCACTTGCAAACTCTGGCTGCCACTGAGAGAAAAATCTGGAGAGCTTCAATGCTTTTGAGATGTGAGCACTTCTAAGCACACATGTCCCCTGGAAATATCAGCAGATCTGTCTGAATGAAAGGTACATTTATTGTCCTTTGCTTCTATTGCAAGCTGATCACTATGGGAAAACTGTGTTTGCAAGTTGGCTTGTGTAAAAGCAATTCTCTCCCGGATAATTTTGGCAGAACAACCTGACCTTCAAGAAGTCATGACTAAGGATGGCCCTTTATCTTCTTGTCATCCATTACAGCATTCAGTCTGTGACCAAGTCATACAAGGGAGTGATAGAGTCCAGAGATCCACTTCTGGAAATTGCTCTGATATAATAACAATACCCAGTGTTTATGAAATCTCCAAGTGAACTTGCTTAAAGGTAGTGTTCATGACAGGGGAAACATGGATCCATTTAAAAGCTGATTCTATGGTAAAAGTATGTCCAGGGCTGAAATTAGGTTTGAACACAGCTCAAGGAACTGACAGAAACTCAGGGTCAAGGAGTAAAAATTCTTATTCCCTGCCTGCCAGGAATTTATGGAGAACTGCAGACAGCGACAGCAGCGAGCCAAAGACATGACGATTTTTCCAGTGAGACTTGCAGAGATGGTATAAGATAGATAGTCTGAGAGCATCAACTGGAGGGAAAATGACAGTGAGGAGAAAAAATGACGTGATCTCTGTTCAGAGGCTGTTAAAGCTTTTGCGAAGTACTTCTTGTTCATGGACAGCCAATCCAACTGTGATTTTGGCTAACCAATGCTTACTGAAATCCAGTTCAACTGAAAATCCTGCAAGAGAGAGATTGATCCTTTAAAGTAAAGGTATCTTAGAGACAGCTAGTGACCTTGCATGTTATTGTGTATTTTTCCCAGAGTGGCTTTTATTTAAAAAGTTCCATAAAGTCAGAGGAAACAGGGTTTTTGTTATTAGCATGCTTGTTTCCTGAACTGAATTTCTTTTTAAAGTAAATGTGTGGAAATAATGACTGTTGTCATCTACAGGCACTCTGTATGCAGGAAGTAGCTGGAGGAAAGATCCTTCAGTTCCCAGCTGTGAGAGGGGGGAATGCAGAACAAGGCCTACTTGGTCAGCAGGGGTGAGTAAAGTTTCTACGACTCAGTTTTCAATAGAAACAAACAGCAACAAGAAAAGAACTGTAGAGTTTTTAAACCAACAAACAAACTATAATTCCAAATAGAAGAGTTGATCTATTTTGTTGGAGATAATTTTAATTTTCTTTTGGTGAGTAAGACCTATACCAGAACTACAAATATAAAGTATCTGGGTTTGGGTAATATAACTTGATCACAGCTACACACATGGAAGTCTAGAGAAGTTTATGTTTGCATCTTACTTTTGCTTAAAGTTGTAATTTAGTTACGCTATTCTATCTAGAAAACAGAAGGCACTACCCTACCTAAAGGCCTGGAGTGTCTGTTCTGAAGCCCTCACCTGTAAATGTGTAGACCCTCTAGTTTGAGTTGTTGTGAATTTCTCTCTCAAACTTCTTGATTTCTAGACTCATCTCCTGAAGTCAGCTGTTTTGCTTTTATCTCTGGATTTTTATTTGTACAAAATATCCATAAATATGCAGATGTTGGAAATGTCTCGTGAAATGTTAAGTATTCACATTACCTATCTCTACTTCTCAGGTTCTGTTACTTAAGCTGCAATAATTGGTGCATTTTTTTCCCCATTAAGCTATGCACTTATTATTATGGCCATAATAACTGATTTATACTTTATGTATTGATATTACTCAAAATGGTTAATGTTCTCCAAAGTGCTATTTACATTTAGAATGGTGTATAATTAATAATAGTAAGAATAGCCAGCCTATATACATCGGGTAGAAAGAAGAAAAGAAACTGTATGATTACTGCTTGTGCCTCTCTGCTCACTGTATACATAAAGTGTAAAATGACTGCAATAACACATAAGCACGGCATCGCTAGTAGGTTGAGGGAGGTGATTGTCCCGCTCTACTCTGCGCTGGTGCGGCCTCACCTCGAGTACTGTGTGCAGTTCTGGGCACCACAGTATAAAAAGGACATGAAACTGTTGGAGAGTGTCCAGAGGAGGGCTACGAAGATGGTGAAAGGCCTGGAGGGGAAGACGTATGAGGAACGGCTGAGGGCACTGGGCCCGTTCAGCCTGGAGAAGAGGAGGCTGAGGGGAGACCTCATCGCAGTCTACAACTTCCTCATAAGGGGGTGTCGAGAGGCAGGAGACCTTTTCTCCATTAACACCAGCGACAGGACCCGCGGGAACGGGGTTAAGCTGAAGCAGGGGAAGTTTAGGCTTGACATAAGGAGGAAGTTCTTCACAGAGAGAGTGGTTGCACACTGGAACAGGCTCCCCAGGGAAGTGGTCACTGCACCGAGCCTGACTGAATTTAAGAAGAGATTGGACTGTGTGCTTAGTCACATGGTCTGAACTTTTGGGTGGACCTGTGCAGTGTCAAGGGTTGGACTTGATGATCCTTGAGGGTCCCTTCCAACTCAGGATATTCTATGATTCTATGATTCTGTGATTCTATGATATCTCCTAGGGGCACTGTGAGTCAGCAGTGCTTGTGAAAAGGCTTTTCTATCTTGATATGAGAGGTACTTTAGAAGTACAGTGAATTAATGTTTTTCTCAGTGACACTAGATTAAATGCTTTTTGATTAAGACTAACACAGTTCCTGAGAAACTCTCTAAAGTAAAGTGAGTTGACCACCCAAGAAAACTATGACCAAGTAACTTGCTTTCTGATCTCTACATTTGCTACATGATAGTCAGGGTTTAGTGGAAATATTAGAATTGCCAAAGACAACTAAGTGGCATTTTAGAGCTTTATGAGGAGGAAGCCTTTAGTACTATGGGCTTGATGCTGATTTGCACTGTAAGAGCTTCACAGCTCAGAAAACATCTTGGGACGTGTAATATTATCAGCAGTGACTGACTGTGCACACACAGTTCTGTCAGAGCAAATGAAAATAAGATGAAGGACACACTTGCTTTAGTTTCAGCAAACAAAACTGAACAGATTGAAGAGAATACTTCAGATTACAGTATGTTAAAATTTTGGCTTGTCACTAGCTTAGCTGACTTGTAGCAGCTCATCAAACCCTGGTTTGAAGCCCTTGCTTCATGGCTGAGTCAAGCTTTCCTTCAGGTATCCCTATCAAAACTTATTCACCCACATGCAAAATCTTTTTACATGATAGAGTTATGCTTTCAATCAGGCCAGACTGTCAAAAGCACTAGCTTAAACCCCAAGGGAAGCTCTCATTTGGGCTGGTCACTTACCATTTTGCGTGGATGAGTTATCTGAACCAGTAGAGATAGAGATAAGTAGGTCTGTAAGCTCCAGATCTATAAGCTCTTGCATGGGAGAAAGAATAGCAGAAGAGTTAAGTTTGCTACAGCATACAGGACTGTGGGATGTGCTTCTGAAAGTGAGGTGCATACAGCACCTGTGAAGACACAGTGACTCAAGTGTAGCTTTGCAGTGTGGCTTCACATGCACATGCAAATCCATGTTCTAATTACCTCAAAGAATAACAGTGACTTTATATATTGTACTGCTAGTGATTGTTATAGACAGTTGTTTGTTTGTTTTTTTTTTCCAAATGTTACTATGTATTGTGGTGCTGTAAAAAATTATTATTAAGACATACGAGTGGAAAGTCTTTTGACTTACTGTGGTCTTATGTTCTTATGGAAACAATCATAATGCCCATATAGTCCTAACTTCTCAATCATGAAATCATACAGTAGACAGGAAATTCCAAGACCCCAGAGACCACTGACTCAGAAACATAGAAGGTTTGATCCCATGAAAAGGTAGTTTTTACATTGGAAATGGGAACAGGTAAAATTAAATCACTGGATGCCTACTATATGAGTAGTCTTATTCACAACAAGAGTGTCCTTTTTTTGTCTGTGTCACTTTCAATATGGCATAACCTAAACAAGAAAATAATCATCTTTATTTTGAAGTGAATATCTATAGAAGTAGCTAAATCACTATAACTTCAGTCATACAGCTATACTAGGAAGTTCTTCCACACAGACCACCTTAATAAAGACCTTCATAAACTATCCTATAGACAACATGTCTTTTGACATCTAGTCAACGTATGGGAATGCCTGTGAGTGTGAACCGAACTCAGACTTAAGAATGACATGAAACTTCTGTTTTCCCCCCTGAAATCTGATATTGAGGGGAACTGTGAGCCTCCTCCCAGTTCTCAATAGACAATAGTTGCCAGCTTAGTAAAGGAGTTTTCTTGGTTTGTTACCATAGTAGACAACCTGAAAAAAAAAAAAAAGGAATCAAAGTGGGAAAGGGCTACTATCTGGTCCCTCTGGCTGCAGGAGGAGGCACTTTTGAGGCAAGATGGCAGTACTGTATTGGGATAGAGTGAGGAAGCTTGCAATGACCCTACTCTTTAAAACTTCACTTAAAACATTGCACTTGTAAGGATGCCATCTGCCTCCCCAGTTCAGCCTATCTCAGAGAGATGTTCACATCTTAATATGTGCTACATTTTTACTTTTCTCTAGGAGGAGGAAATGCATGCCTAATGAACAGTAGAATTCTGAGGTGTGGTATCCAGCCATCAGCTGTTAGGAGAGAGGAGATACAGCAACTTGTAAGGCATTTTGTTGGCTCAAAAAAAGAATACCTTGCTGGACCTCAAACATTCAGCTTCTTGAAACAGGAGCAGAGGCATCAATCTGGTTCAGGTGTTTCCTAAGCAGAAAAAGAAAAAAAAAAAAAAAAAGAGAGAGAGAGAGAAATGAAATCAGTCTGCTGCTTGGTACTCATTACAATCCTTAAAAACACTTGTTCCTTTCTCCTTTACCTTTGCTGCTAAGCACTTCCTGAGTAATTTCTGCTGCTCTTGAATTGGACTTTTCACAGTAGTGCATGTAAGGAAATCCCAATTCCAGTAATCAAGAGGATTTACCCTTGGAACTAAATAGGCAAGACGTGCCTTTTTTCTGAACAGACAAGTAATTATTTCCATTTCAATAAGTATGGGGAAAACTTAGGATATTTGAGAAGTGACCTTTGATTACTTGATGGGGCCAGATGAGAAGTGTAGCTGTCCATCCCTGTGCAGCTGTCTGCTTTGTGGGTAAAAAAAAAACAGAGTAGAGATGACAGCTACCAGAAACCAGAGGACGGGAGAAGGGACTAGCTTATCTGCAAGCCTGTGTGCTTGCAGGAGTGGGGGAGAAGGAGCCCTTTCTCCACTGTTGCAGTCCCCACAATTCTTTCTCATGAGGAGTCCTAGTGAACTGGTGCATATATATTTTAAATCTAGAGTTCAAGTCAGCAAGGTCCTGTGGTTCATAAGCAATCCTCCTGTTTTCTGTTTGGTTCTTCTGCAGTACCTATTGTTATGTTCTGAGGCAATGTAATGGAAACAATCCAAATAAGCTGGGCACAGGCACACAGTCCGTTATCACAATACTCATGCAGAATTACTCTTGTTATCCTCCTCAGTGCATTTCAGGTTGTCTGGAATAGTTCGGGAACAAGTGACACTCCAGATTACTGTTAGAGAGATGATGGAGCAGACAGTACCTTTTTTTTTATTATTTATTTACTTCCACTACGCTGCAAATACCTTTGCAGTCATGCCCAGTGCTGAGACTAAGTGGCTACAGCCATGGTGATGCTAATGACTGGGATTTAATTGTCAAGGCTCTCTCACTTGTGTGTCAGCAGCATGGATTGTTACGATCAAGTTATCATGAGCAGACTGCAACCCATGTGGGACTTGTTCATAGGTCTCAGTTTAGTCCCTAGCAGAGAACACACCACTTTGTGGGGTGTTAGTAGCAATCCCAAGAGCAAAGAATTGATTGTATGGGCACTTGAAGGGACGCAAATGGGACACTGTTAAGAAAATTTAGATGGGTAGCATAAAAGTACTCTTTTCAACTACATACCTTGCATTGTACATTTATGAATTTAAGAACTTTTGTCTCGAAGGCTAGCAGTAATGCTTCTTGTATGAACTGAGTGTCAAGCACCCCGAAATAAAACCAGGCATTTCTAAAGATCTCTGAGGACAGGCTTAGTGTAATGCTATCC